TTTATTCATTAAACAAGAGGCTCTCAAGAGCCTGAATCGCTCACCTGTATTTCAGAGGAGAAGATTTTAAATGTTAGCAAACTTGATGAACAAATTGTGTAAAATTGTCTTTAAAGGGCAATAACTCCTTAAGTTAAAGGGGTCAATTGACAAATCTATAATAATATTCAAAATAATAACAAAAAACTGCAAAATTTTGTTAAAACTACCAATTCGGTGGCAGCAACCCAACTATGGGTTGTTCGATTTGTCTGATAATTTCAGGGCCGATAGATCTTGACCAATTAAACAATTTTACCCCATGTCACATTTGCTCTAAAAGATTTAGTTTTTGAGATATAAGCCAAAAACTGCATTTGACCCTTATGTTCTATTTTTAGCCATGGCGGCCATGTTTGTTGATGGATACAAACTTCGGATACGATTTATAAACAAAATACCCTAAGGAACATTTAGTTAAAGTTTGAAGGTAATTGGCCCAGTAGTTTCAGAGGAGAAGATTTTTAAATGTTAGCAAACTTGATGAACAAATTGTGTAAAATTGTCTTTAAAGGGCAATAACTCCTTAAGGGGTCAATTGACAATTATGGTCATATTAACTTTTTTGTAGATCTTACTTTGCTGAACATTATTGCTGCTTACAGTTTATATATATCTATAATAATATTCAAAATAATAACAAAAAACTGCAAAATTTGTTTAAACTACCAATTCGGTGGCAGCAACCCAACAATGGGTTGTTCGATTCTTCTGAAAATTTCAGAGCTGATAGATCTTGACCAGTTGAACAATTTTACCCCATGTCAGATTTGCTCTAAAAGCTTTAGTTTTTTAGATATAAGCCAAAAACTGCATTTGACCCCTATGTTCTATTTTTAGCCATGGCGGCCATGTTTGTCGATGGATCAAAACTTCGGATACAATTTATAAACTAGATACCCTAAGGAACATTTAGATAAAGTTTGAAGGTATTTGGCCCAGTAGTTTCAGAGGAGAAGATTTTTGAAATAGTTAACGACGACAGACGACGACAGACAACGGACGACGACGGATGCCAAGTGATGGCATAAGCTCACATGTGGCACTTCGGGCCCCGGTGAGCTAAAAAGGGGGGATTTTCCAGTTTTTGGACAATAACTCAAAAATGCTGTCAGAAATTCTCATGAAACTATGGTGAATTATTTATATCTATTGATGTGAGCTCCCTTTACATTTTCATAAATTTTTAATATGACATTGAGAATTAATTGAACTTTAATTGTTTATAGTCTGACAACAGATTTACTAAGTATTGCGCAACAGCACAGTGTATTGCACAACAGCAAGAAATCTTTAATTGAATATAAATTCAATTCATATAACCAATTTCAAGTTCTTTGACTACATTTATTCAGAAACCTATAATATGTTAAATATTTAATACAATCCAAATTCAGACCTGTATCAAGCTTGAATATTGTGTCCATTTTTGTCCCAACTGTTCAGGGTTGGACCTTTGCGGGCATATCCAGCTGCGCTCAGCGAAGCAGTTTATTAAAAATACTACTTCCAAAAAAAAAAAAAACAGACATACAAACAAAGACTAACAAAAATCAAAAAAATGTAAATTTGATGTTTGATAACACTTAAAAAAACGATGTGTGAATTTTTTTTTGGGTTCTTTTTATACGACCGAAAAAATTTTGCGTTCATATTATGTTATGGCGATGTCTGCGTCTGTGTCCGAAGACATTTGTCGTCTGAAGACATTTTATTTTCCAGGCAATAACTTGAGTATAAGTGTATGGATCTCTATTAAATTGTAGCACAAGATTCCATATCACAATAGGAAGGTTGGGATTGATTTTGGGGGTTGTTGTCCTAGCTGTTTAGGAATAAGGGGCCAAAAAATGGTAAAAAAATTGGTCGTCCCAAGACATTTTGGTTTCCAGACATTAACTTGAGTACAAGTGTAAAGATCTCTTATGAAATTGTAGCACAAGGTTCCATACCACAATAGGAAGGTTGGGATTGATTTTGGAGGTTATTGTCCTAGCTGTTTAGGAAATAGGGGACAAATAACATGGACATCTGCCTTCTACACCAGATAACACAAACATCTATGTATAACAACAAATAAATGAACATGTTTTCTACAACAGATACCACAAACATCTTTGTATAACAACCAATAACATGAACATCTGTCTTCTACACCAGATAACACAAACATCTTTGTATAACAACAAATAAATGAACATGTCTTCTACAACAGATAACACAAACATATGTGTATAACAACAAATAAATGAACATGTCTTCTACAACAGATACCTCAAACATCTATGTATAACAACAAATAAATGAACATGTCTTCTACAACAGATAACACAAACATATGTGTATAACAACCAATAACATGAACATCTGTCTTCTACAACAAATAACACAAAAATTTATGTACAACAATAAATAACACAAACATTTATGTATAACAACAAATGACATGAACATCTGTCTTCTGCAACAGATAACACATGCATCTATGTATAACAACAAATAACATGAACATCTGTCTTCTGCAACAGATAACACATGCATCTATGTATAACAACAAATAACATGAACATCTGTCTTCTGCAACAGATAACACATGCATCTATGTATAACAACAAATAACATGAACATCTGTCTTCTGCAACAGATAACACATGCATCTATGTATAACAACAAATAACATGAACATCTGTCTTCTGCAACAGATAACACATGCATCTATGTATAACAACAAATAACATGAATATATGTCTTCTACAATAGATAAAACAAACATTTAAGGCAAATAAAACATTTGTCTATTACAACAAATAACACAAATATCTATCATGAATTATCTATGTATTATAATAAAAGACATCAACATTTGCTTTATATGAGAGATAACTCAAATTTTTGTGTAGTACAATAAAGAAAACATCTGACTTCTGCAATTTTTAGCAATATAACTAACAAATTTATCTCCCTAGCAACACCAATTTGTATAGATATGGCAGCAGAGTGCATGATTTTGCTCTGTGAAACTGATAAAATCTTTGGATATAAAAATAAAATACCATAGTAGTAGATCAATATCATATGTGCAAAAGACTTACTAAAAGTTTAGTTAAAACTTCGTCATTTTTTGTAGAGGTGCAAAAATGCAGAATGATAAATGAACAGAAACATGACTATATCCCCAACCCCTCCACTATTACTGAACAGGGATAAAAAAAAATGTCTGTCTTTAACTGCAAGGCATTGAAGGATTGTTACAAATGTATAATATCTCGAGCAATTATTTCTCATTTCATGGTAATTAGATATTTATTATAACCACTATATACCGTTCAATATAATTGAAAACTTGCAGCATGCCTTTATATAGAAATTGGAATAGAAAAAGTGCAGCTGGAGAGGAAATTGACAATATTTTGTAGGTGTCTAGCAATAAAATTAAATTATAATGGAGAAACTTTTAAATTAGCTTCGTGTATTTCTCTGGTGGCACCAATCATTTCATCATTTTCAAAGTAATTTAAAACAGGCAAAACCACAGAACAAACTTGATAAAGGAGAATGTTATGCCAATCCGTCAGGTTTAAATCAATTTGGTCAAAATATCAGTTAATTTAATTCCACAAAAGTAAGAAAAAAGGATGTTTTCTGTAGTAATTATTTTGCTCTTCTTTTAGGATGAAAAATTGAAGGTTATAATGTAGTTTGTGGCAATCATTTCAACACGTTAATGAAGAAATAATTGGTTTGAAATTCTATATTGTTTTTCTTCATTAAAGTTATGCCAGTTTTAAGGGAATAGCATCATCTGTTCTCATTGAGGTGAAACTTTATCGTTTAATTAGAAACAATTACTATGCATTCCAGAACAATTTGTATAATTATTTGAATTAGGTTGTCAAAATTTACATGAAAAATTGAATCCCATTCCAAATAAAGACTTTTTACATTGTTGTTTCTCTGACACCAGTTGTGCTTTGACATAAACTTGTCTCTGAAACAATAAGGAGTTAGGAGTTTTATCAAAGATTTTGCATTAGAACTGGAATTTCTTGCCAAAGTTTTTGATATCTGTTGTCCAGTTTGATTAGTCATTTTGTGACAGTAAATTTAATGATATTAACATCAAATATTCAAATAGAATCTAAAAGATTATCAAAACAAAAAAATTAGACATTATCTGAAATCCAAAATCCTGAGGGACAACTCTGAAAACAGTTTAGGGCATATGTTCAAACAACCACACACTGATCAATTCAACATATTGTAAACAATGTGAACAATTCTCGAAACATTGCAATTATTTTTTCCTTTATTGTTTAAATAACAATACATATCACAAATTTTATCCAAATTTTATCCAATCAGAATGAAGGTAACAGTGTAAATAAGAATGAACAAAAGTATATCAAAAGGAGGAAGGGAGAGAAAATGGAAAATGCCTTTTAATCAGATTTGAGACTACATTTTGTTTACCCCAAAAATAAGGGGTGCTTAACATTCACACACTAAAACTAAATGGTGTCTCTGAACATCTTAACAAATAAAGGTCATTATCTAAAATTTCTCGTTTTTATGCCCACATCGCAGCAGAGGGGGCATTAATTGTTACCCTTGTTCGTCTGTACGTCCATACGTAAGTCACAAAATTAGTTTCCATTTTCTAACTTTAGTTTGCCTGAACCAAATTTTATGAAACTTATACACAATGCTTATTACAAAAAATGTACCACAAAACACAGATCAAGTTTGAATTTGGTGGCGTCACTTTTACCGTTCTTGAGCTATGTCCCTTTATAACGTTATATGCAAGTGGGGGCATCCTCTGTGTCCCATGGACACATCCTCCATTTACTTGATAATTAAAGGCATACTTTTTAAAAGTATGTGTCTGTAGAATTTCACTATTGATCTTTTAAGATTTCCTGAGCAATTAATTTATATGTTGCAATTTGTTTATTTTACAGATATAAAGTTGGACCTGCAGTCACATTACATGGAGTACCTCAAGATGTTAAAAACTTGGTGCTAGTATTAAATGGAAGAGAAGTGTCCAAAATCAAAGCTGCCAAAGAATGGTTGAATTATCTCCCTTTGTTAAGAGATCTTCAGCATGTAGCTGTAGTGTTGCTAGGCAATGAGCAGTGCAATAATGACTGGATAAAACATTATATGAAGGTCAATGGGGGACGAATAGATTTTGTCTTCCTTGTCTATGATAGTCCAGATATTGATAATAGAAATTTCTATCAGTGGCCATTAGGTGTGGCAACGTAAGTATATTCAAGAATCTATGACTTTCAGTGAAGTTTAAATCAGAATTTCTCAAAAAGTTTTGCTACTAATAATATTGTAACTAAAGATTTGAATTATTTTCTTAAATTGCAGTTTACCTCTTATTAAGTTTAAATTTCCCCATAACATAGGTTTATATTTCAATATCCTAGAATACTACTTCTGTGCTTTTGTCATTGCTAAATTTATAATAATTATAATGGACTATAAATCAACCAGTCAACAGCCTTTGCTCTTAAACAAATTGGTCAATTAAATAGAATTGCATTAAATTTTAACAATTGACCTCTCAAAAACATAACTCTCATGATGAAAATATAACAAAATGTCATTATTAATAAATTTATTATATCATAACTTTTGGTGAGAATTGGTCAATTTTGGGTCACTTTCTAAACTTTGTCCGATAAATCTCTCTGGCTACCAATACTGACACTGAAGGAGCTAAGTTATACAGAAAATGATATGTAACTTCATATGTTCTTTGTTTTTCAGGTATAGAGATTTTCCAAACATCGAGAGATCCGAAGTTCCAATTTACAACAAAAGAAAATTTGTGTGTAATTTTATGGGAACAATATACAAGAATTCATCAAGAGAAGTACTTTTAGATGTTCTTCGTACCGAACCATTAAGAAGTATATGTTCAGTTAAAGCTAGACAAACGTAGGTGTTTTATTTAAATAGATTAGCATTAACTTTTGTAACTGCTGTGTATAATGTCTATGAAATAACTTTAAATGTTCAAGAAACAAATCATTCGAAAAGTACAAGATTAGCTTAATGTCCCTCATGACCACTCATTGGTAAAAATGTTTAAAGAAGTTATCCATTATAAGCTGTATGCGAAAAACTATATTATTGTGGATTCATCATTATTCATTAGATACCAATTTTCGTGGATTTTGTTAGTATAGGAAAACCTCAAATTTAAATGCACAAATTTTCTATAGGATTAATTGCATGCAGTCTTCAGCAAAACCATGAAATCAAGTATTCTTGAAAAAACAATTGGTCCTCAATCCACGAAAATTGGTATCGGCCAAAATAAATGAATCCACAGCCTAGACATGACAGCATAGTAAAGTTACAGAGCTATGACTCCAATAACAATTGCAAATTTTAAAAATGATCATCTATACACCATGAACAAATAACCTTCCAAACATAAATGCAATCCATTAGAACCACTGTGGAGTTACAATCATGAGATTGTGTATTTGTAGGCCTTTGTGAAAATTTATAGAAGTATGTAACTCACATAAATTAAAGACTTTTAAATGTTTGCAGTGTGTATCTAGACAAATATCACCATTATTATACATTTAATACTACTTTTATTCCTCGAAAGACCTATAAGGCAGTGTCACATGTATATGGATGTAAGGAAGTTTTAAAGCAGCAAAATTCTTACACAAAAATAATGGAATCAAAATGGCAGCATAATCTAATCTAAACTTTGAGGTGTTTCATACCCAAACACTCCACTAAATATGACGGCTATTTTAAAGGATGGAATAAAATTGACAGCATGATGTAGTCTTCTGTACATCTTTAGAAACATTGTGCTTAAATGCTGAAAGGTCTGTGGTTCTCTCTGGGTACTCCAGCTTCCTCCGCCAATAAAAACTGGTTGCAACAATAAAGCCAAGTTGAACACCAACAATCATGCAATCATCAAAAGTTGAATAATGAAACTGCTGGAAAAAATTATTTGATATACTTGATAGGTGCATTTTAGAACTTTGTGTCAGGTGTAAGCACTTGTCCTGTGTGTCAATCATGGTCAGACTTCATGTAATATTAGAATTCTGAGTAGTCAAGTTGTCATGCAAATGAGCAAATTAATTCTGTCATTTATTTAATTTGATAAAATAAGACTTTTTAACTTGTTCAGTTTGAGTGCATATCAACAGGTTTCATTATTTTAGTGATCTGATAAAAGTCTTCCTTTAATTATAGGTGGTTGCCACAGGAAACAGACCAAAGTCGAGAAGATTATATAAATGCCTTAGAAGACAGTGATTTAACACTGAACCCTGTTGGTCAAAACACAGAATGCTACAGAATATATGAAGCTTTAGCATTGGGGTCACTTCCTGTTGTAGAGGATGTAATGACACCAGGGAATTGTGGGAAATCTTCGGTATCTGAAACTGTGCCCCTTAGGATATTGAAGGAGCAAAAAGCTCCAATAAAATATATTAAAGACTGGAAGGAGTTGAGATCTGTTTTATCAAATGAATTAAAGCTCAGTATTGAAGGAAAAATTAAAAGGAGAAAGGAACTCATGCTATGGTATGAAAATTTTAAATCAAAATTACGGGAACATTTTATTCATGTGGTGCAAGAGAAATTTTTCAATTTGAATCAATAACAGTTAAGGTGCTTAGTAATTATCATTGGGTATTTTTATTTTATTTTGGGGTAGCATTTGATGCTAGGTTAAAATTGTTGGTTTCAAGATTTACAGAATAAAAACAGGCCAATGACTTCACATATTTTCATGTAATTTCAGATTGTATAAATTCATTTAAATGCCTCCATCTATGAATAATGTTCACTGTCTATTGCAGTACACTTAGTCATGTTATTCATAAACTTTGAGTTTTGCTAAGGTGGAAAAATACTGCAAAATGTTTCGATTGTTAATGTGAAGTCAAATAATTTACAAGAGAGTTCTCTTATGAACTTTTTTTTATCATTGTACAAGGAAACATATGTTGGCTACACTGTGATGAACTAAATATTGTTAGGTTGTGCTTTGTGTTTTTATTTTGTTTTATCATATGTATCAAATTATTTTACAAATAGTTTAGATTTTTGGTTGTAATTTTATTTTATTGAAAACTGTATTCCATTTTATGTCTTGTTGTATGATTCCAAGTTTTATTTTGTTTTCAAATATTACTTTATAGATTCTAACATTCACAAAGATATTTATACAGTTTTTCTCATATTTATTTTTCATCAACTACAATTTTGAATAAGTCAGTAACAAATAAAAACATTTAGTGGTAATATTTTACTTGATTTGAATAAATCTAGACAATCAGTTATAACATTTTAATTTGCTCAAGTACAAGAACTTTTAACTTTGGTTAAAAAGGGGGAGTCTGATGTTCGGGTAGTTCATTTAATGGACACTAATGAGATGCAATTGATGTGCATCTGAATGCCGTTTTACAAGTTATTTAATTTAAGTTTAATTTTTCTGTTTAGAACTTGGTGTATTTCTATAACAGAGTTATTCTTCTTTGAATCAGTTATCAATAGTCTATTTAATGATAAAGCACCAGCAGGAAGACATATTGAAATAGCTTCTGTAATTGTTGGCCTTTCAAAGTCAACTCTATACGTCTATGGTAAATGTCTATATGTAGTTGAAGCCATTTCTATTAATAGATTAATATTGAAATCATCTGCCTTTTTTGTCTCCTATTTAAATGTCATAATCCTTGATGCTGTGCAAGAAACAGCTTAACTTAATAAGATTATATATTTGCGATGAGTTTTAGTCATTGTTGAAATAAAGATGGGACCATTGTTTTGGTTAAAAACAATATTCTCATAATTCATGCTTTAAATGAACATGCCAAAATTTGTTTTTGGTGTTGGTTTTGGATATGAAGAATTTTGCTTATTTTATTCATATTTATATTTTACTTGTGGTATTAATTATATTATCTCTACTGAGTTTAAATGAAGGTGAACATATAATGACATAAATTTAAGTAAAAAAATATTTTAGGGGGAGTTATTTGGCAAAATATTTTTTTATTTTTCTCAGAATTGATGAATTCAACTTGGGAGATGAAAACTATGCTTTAATTTACAATAATTTGTACCCAAGAAATAAAGGAACCCACATTAAATCTTTTAAGATTAATGGCTATAATAAAGGATTAGAGTTGGACATAATTGCGATATTTTAATTTTTATTGAGCTTTTGAAATTATAAATTCACATTTTTCATTTCAGTAACATGTATATGGTATCATTGATAGAAATTCAGGTTTTCATTGAATATTTAAAAATTATAAGCATATCTTGCCGAATACTGTGGTAGAAAGTGATTTTTTGTATATGACAAGGTTTTATTTTTGAATAATATGGATTTTTTGGGGGGAATTTTTTAAACCATTGCTCCAAAAGGAGGGGGGAGAACTGGTTTTTGTCTCTTCGTCTGTCCCATGAAATTTCCTGAGTTTCTTGAAATTTGGAAATAAGCATCATGTGAGCATGCCATACTCTGTAATGTGTTTTCACATCCATTTTTCTTCAACTTTCTGTTTACCAAAAACTGATAGTAGGTGTGTCATTTGTGAGCAATAGCCCACTGTCCACCTTGCTGCCTTGAAAAAAAAATTAAATAACTATGTAAAAATAGATCTTCACAGTTACATATACAAACAAACAGAAATTTGTTATACAACTTTCACATTTATCAGTTATATTTTGTTAAAAAAATATTTTGTAGTGTGAATCTTATTGCTGTTAAAGTCTTTTCATAAACTATACAAACATGCTTTCAATTGTGTAGAATGAGACAGGAAATCAGGTCATACATTGTTTCAAAATTGATCTGTTTCCATTTCATTTCTTTTACTATCAAAATTTCATTAATGCGAGACATTTCTGTGTCAATCTTTTATATATTTTTTTTAATGAGTAATTATAAATGTGAGGTTGTCCCAATTTGTTTCAATATTGTAAAAGCATTCATATCATAAATATAGCCAATGTATAAATGCAGTGAATTTAAATGACGTTCAAGATACACATTTTAAAAACATACTTATTCAAAAATTGATTCATGAATTAAAACTGTTTTCCATGGTACCTATAACAAAATTCTGTGAAACAGAGAAACAGTTTAGGAATACAAGATGGAATGTATAATGTTCCGATCTACAATATTTTTCTGTGTGGTATACTGCATTACATACTATTGTATACCAGCACATATCAGTGGTTACTTAAAGTCCATATGACAGTGCCTCTTTTCACAAAGTCTAATTGGCTGGGTTCCTGTCACAAAAATAATCATTTGTAAAGACTTCGTAGCTTTTTACATAACCCAATTACAATTTTTAATTTTTATTTACGTTTGTGATATATTGATAAATATCTGTATGGAAGGAAAGTTCTGTAATAGAGCTATCCCAGAAATATATGTATGTGAGTGGAAATTTTTTTGAAGATTGTGATATAAATCTTGAGTTTTCTATTGCGTATGAATTAATAGTAAAAAATACTCTCTCTTCTCTCTATCTTCCTGTTTATTACTTTTTCTCTGGAATAGCCCTCAGAAAATAAACACAGTGGTCATAAATGTATATGATTTAGCTTATTTTACTATATATTTCTTATGATGTATCATCATCCAAGCATCTCAAATGAGAAGGGTGAGGGGCGTCATGTGAAAGAGTTGAAGGCTCCAAGGATTAACTTGTCATAAAAAAAAATCAGTTGTATATAGTATATTTGTTTATTTTATGTTTGATGATTTGAGCACAATTGGTTTTATTTATTATTTAAATTAGATTAATTTACGCAGTGGATTTTTCAATGAAAATTAATTTCCATTTTTTTTATTATAAGAAACTGACACTGAAATAGAATCCTGACTGAATAAACTATGCAGAATTCTTCAATTTCCGTTACTAGTTCTCATGCCGTGCATCAAGAAATGATCTCACTTTTTTTTAATGATTGAAGATTGTGACTTTATGTAGATTATTTGATAAATAAACGTAAATCTCAAATACTTTAGACCACTCACTACATGTTAATGTTGATGCTTTATAGTGATGTTAAAAAGAAATATTTTTATACGTATTATTGTTAAATGTAAATATTTTTTGTTGGAGATATTTATTCTTGTTCCATTTTTTATCATGAATTTGTTTGCATTCCAAATGTTGTATAATTAGTTGTATTATTACCTTAGCATGACCTATTGACCTCCCATAATATGTTACAGAGACATCGTGCTTGCTGAAGCTTGTACATTTGTCTCCACAATCATTTCAAAGTATACCTGGCATGCTTCATCATGTGTATCATAAAATATTACCCAAGAATATAGTCAACAATTTATATCTGCTTTCATCAGGTGCTATCTTTGTCTTTGCTTATGATATTTTACTTTGTCTTATGTTTCTAATTGAAATGTTTTCTTATTAGGACTACTTTCATAGCTGTTATTTTAAATGTAATGTAATGTAAATGATATTAAAACAAGGAATTATTTGAATTTGGAATAATTTTGAAATCTGGAATATTGATATGAAATTTATGATGAAAACTAACCCAACTAGAAAGGGTTAGCCATGCGTGCATGACAAAGGGGGTCAGTTCATACTGAAATATCAGTGAAAGTAACCTGAACCTTAGCCATGCACGCTTGACTAACCCTATTTAGTTGGGTTAGTTTTCATCATACATTTCTTATCAATTTTACAGAATTCAAAATTATTCCAGATTCCAATAATTCCTCCTTAGTTAAGGTAGCCTGAGAGTAGTCTGCCATTTGGACCCAAAATGATTGGTGTACATTTTTACGAACATAAGAAAATTTTGATATGGATATGCAATCAAATGAAAGAAAAACATTTATATCATTTTAACTTATAGTAAAATTATGTTTACAATTGCAGCGAAAAGCTATTTAATCCAAAACTTTGATTCATAAGGGGAGAGAACTCTGATAATGAAGTTTTATAAAAGAGTTATTTGTGTCTCAAGAAAAGTTTAGTGACCTTTATTTTTTCTTTTAATATTTGTTAGTATTTTATAAGTGATATCTTATTTAGTTTTCCTTCTTGTCACTTTGCAGTGAATTTCTATACATTATCCCTATAGAATACTTAAATGCACAACAGACATAAAATCAGCTAATTTAAATTAGCAGAGAATAATAAAAGTACTTGTTTATACTCGCATCCTACCTTAACAATCAAAACAAAAATCAAAGACCAATTCTAGTCTGCTTAGATTTGACAATTGTTATGCTTTTCTTTTGTTGCTTTAATTCATGATATTACAGGGTTACATATGGTCATGTTTTTCCTCTTTCCATCATGATTGTCACAAAAAAACATTATGTTTTCATTTATACAAAGTCTTTATTCTTTATCTAAGACAGTCATATGTTCATGTAAAAAAGTTGATGTCACAAAAAAAATGTCTTGACACCACAGTGCACATGACTGTGATTGTTAAAATGACATCAATAGGTCAAGTGTTGCAGAATATCAAATAGTGATTAGATCTATATAAAAGATAGATGAATAGCTCAAACACTGTAACTGCTACATCTTCCTTGTAGACCTTATCGCTGTATTTGGAAATCTGCAACACTTGACCTGAGATATTGCGACACTTGAACCTTATTGATGTACAACAATCACTTTTGCATTTGGCGCCAAGACATTTTCTTTTGTGACATCAAAATTTACGGGAATGTTTGTGATTTGCTGTTAAGATGGACAAATAGAGAGAAGGTGTATTCTTGATCATAGATCATAAAATATCCACAATAGGTTTAAACTTAAAAATAATTTGTATTCATTTATCACAACATATCAAATAAAATAAGTAAAAAAAAAAACATTGCATTTATTCTGGTCAGAATTGCTTTCAATAAAATAACCCTGTCATGATTCAAAATAAATGTCTTTCTGTAACTTTTTCATGGTCCAAAGACTGATAATTACTGATGTATGTTTGACTCTGCTTTGTTTTATAGCAAACTCTATAGAGGGTAGAGTTAATGAAATGTTTTACTATACAGTTAAGGTAGATTCGTGGTATACCGCCGTCTTGGATTGTACAATCGCAGTACAAAATCGGTCTAGTTTTTTGCCCAAATCTGCAAATTTGGAGACAGATTTGCAATTTAATAGTTAGACTGTTTATTTGTATAAAAAAAACTTGGTGATTTATTGTATTATCCAAAATATTTAAACAAATATCATTTTTTTTTGTTTTTAGAATCATTTTTTTAAATGAGCCATTTCAGGGGAAATAACTCTTTTAGTAAAAAATTTATACTGGACTAATAGGGAAATTTTTAATTTTTACTTGTAGCAAGAAAACAAGTTCGGTGACACTATTTTTTCTTTTTATTTTCTTAAAACATATTATAAAACCTATCTTCTCACAATTTATTTCAAAATTCTATCTCATAGAATTTTTTTTATGCACACAAATGTGTTTTTTCATGAACAATCTAACCAAATTTAAGCAATTTTCAACGATTCATAGCTTGCAAAATAGCACGGTGACCCATACTTTTTATTATATTTTTGAAAAAAGCATAGTAAAATCTTCATTTTGGCAAATTATAAGAAAATTCTGTCTCAAAAAATATATACTTATGATCTACCTTAAATAAATAAGTATTAAGTAACAATGAATTATAAGGAACAGTAGAAAATATTAGACCATTTTTAGCAATTACATGTTCTACTTGTAGTATTATTTGTTTCTTTAAAGAAAAAAGATTTACTGACATGATTTCAGCTTTTGTGTAATATTTATGCACAACTGTTTATTAGTCACTTATTAGGTTGTATACATGTTTTTTTTTAGGGAATTAAGCCATGAAAATTTTGCACATTTTGCATGTTTTTTGAAGGGCACAAATGCAATAGCAGGGTCAGATAATAATCTTTAAATTTAATCTACTGTTTTAGCAACATGCACTGTGCAGCTTGTTGCATTAAGAATATAATGTCAATGTTATTCGTCACCACAGATAGCATTTATAAGCAAAGTTTTCATTTGTAATTTCAAAAAGGGTTGAAATAAAAAATGACTATTTTACTGCAACCTTGCCAAAATCAGAAACATATGCCTTAAAAAGAAATTTGTTTTTTGTTTTTTGCATATTTAGAGATTGTAAATTAAATTTATGAGACTTTTCAAAACTCCAGGAAAAAGTCTATGTATGATATCTAGTGTTTCATATTCCCTTAACGCAATTTCTGTTTTTTCCCTATTTTCGTTTATTACATTATTTCTCACATTAATTTAAATACCCATGTTGATGATTTAAGTTAAATGACTAAATATGGCTAATATTCTCACACGATTCATGTGAGGCACTATTCTTATGAAGTTTTCATTTCAGAGAGAAGTTATTAACAGTTTATTAAAAGTCACAAATAAGTATTTTTACTGTACATAAATTATTACAATGATTATATAATGCAATGAAGGAACGTGTGATATTGTTAATTGTTTGGTCTCTGTCATTTGTTTTATGTAGATTTGTTAAATATAAGTTTGTAAGAGAGTAGCTAAATGGAGTAATAAACATTAGTTTTTTAATTTATAGTCTTTAATTTTTTGACACTATATCAATAGTGTGCCACTATTAATCCATCATTCTGCCTCTGAAGAAGGTCCATACAGGGCCGAAATCGGTCAGGCTATGAATTATCAACAGGCACTGTTTATTATGTGTTTTCTGCATTATTTACTTTTTATTTGTCGTAACGTAAGTTAATAATTAGTATGACATCAACCAATGAAAGTTCCATTGGAGCTATTGTGTTTAGAGGCCTTTTATGTCAGTTTTCTAATATAACCTTCCTTGATTTAATCTACATGACATGAGAAAACAACCTGTCTGAATAGATGAAAAACAAAAACAAGGATTTCAGAACATCAGCTAATCAATTTATTTACACTACCAAAAAAAATTGATATTTATCAAATATGTTCTCCATCATAATTAACTTATAATGACCACTGTTTTGTTCACTTTATCAGGTTTTCCTTTCAAAGGCAAATGAAAAACAAATTTGATCTGAATGTCCTTTAGTCGGCTTGAAAAGCAGCTTTTACCTGTACAAGTATTGGAAGTGCTAGAGTTCGGATAACTTTAAACCTTACAATATCAATAAACCATCTGTAAGATCATGTTTTTAGCAAATATTTAATTATATCTAAATTAATAATATAGAAACCAGAGGCTCTAAAGAGATTGTGTCGCTCACCTTGGTCTATGTGCATATCAAACATAGCACACTCTCCAACATGGTAGACGAGAATAGACTTCATGACAAAAATCTCTATTTTGTTGATCTTGTAAACTGATCTTTTAGTCTGTTTAGTTTCTCTTTATCTTCTATAGTTTTTGCTCAAAACACAAAAGAGGGTAAAAAAAATCCTCGTTTAAGGGTAATCACTCCAATGAAGAGTGACAAACTAATAACTATATCGTCAAAATTTGACTTTTTAATAGATCTTGCCTTGCTGATCATTTTTATACGACCGCAAAAATTCAGAGTCGTCAGAAGACAGATGGTTTCCGGATAATAACTTTAGTATAAGTAAATAGAAGTCAATAAAATTTTAACACAAGGTTTATAACCACTAAAGGAAGGTTGGGATTGATTTTTGGGGTTATTGTCCCAACTGTTTAGGAATTAGGGGCCAAAAAGGGGCCCAAATAAGCATTTTTGTAGTTTCAAGACAATAACTTGTGTTTAAGTGTATGAATCTCTCTGAAATTTTACCACAAGTTTCCATACTACAAAGGGATGGTTAGGATTGACTTTGGGAGGTTATGGCTCAAACCAATAAGTAATTAGGGGCAAAAAAAGGGGAAAAACAAGTGTTTTTCTGACTAAAGGACAATTGAAACAATTTAAAAGTAATGTAAGGGAGGTAATCCAAATTAATTAAAAGAACACTGTTTGATTACCTCCCTTACACTGCTTGTTAATTATGTATTAAGAAATGATGATTGTCTTGAGGTGATTAGCTGTCAATTTATTTTTAGCAGTTACTAATAATTAATATTAATTTTAGCCATGACTATGTATATCATTTTGTATTTAAAACTTTTATGATGTATTTAAATGGGTAATTATGGTTGCAAACTCCATTAGAAATTTGAATTGAGATACTGACCATATCTTGAGGGAAAGATTTTTTTTTGGGGAATAAGGGAAAGGGGGGAGGTGAAAAAAATTGGAGGGGGGGACAATTTTTCTCATTTCAGATTTCAGAAATTAAAAGAAAATTTCTTCAAATATTTTTTTTTGGGGGTTAATATTCAACAGCATAGTGCACAAAAGCAAAATACCGGGGTAAAATTTATTTTTTTTTTGGGGGTGGAGGGGGGGGGGGGGGCAATTCACAACAGCATAGTGTATTTCACAAAATCAAAATTCAAATCATATAACCAATTTGAAGTTCTTTGACTACAGTTATTCTGTGTCAGAAACCTATTATGTGTCAAAAATTTAGTTACAATCCAAATTCAGACCTGTATCAAGCGTGAATATTGTGTCCATTTTGGCCCCAACTTTTCAGGGTTGGACATCTGCGGTCGTATCCAGCTGTGCTCAGCGAAGCAATTTATTGTGATTTAAAGTGTTTATTTATCTATTATAATTTAAATCATACAAGGCATACCGAAAAAAAAATGTTTCTCTCTAAATATCATAGTTTTCATAGAAAAAGGCAAAAATGAAAAAAATGGTAAAATTTGTCATTTATGGGCAATAACTCCTATAAGAATTTCTCTAACAGTTTTGACGTATATGGACAATTGGTAGAGCTCATTATTCGGAACATTTTTGCTCCTTTCAGATTTTCTCTATTTATAACGGTTCAAAAAATAATAGAAAAATCTTTCATTTTACCCCTATGTTCTATTTTTAGCCATGTCAGCCATGTTGGTTGGTAGGCAGGGTCATTGGACACATTTTTATATGACCGCAAAAAAATTTTTGTGGTAGTATATTGGTATGACGTTGGCGTCGTCGTCATCCGAAGACGCATTGGTTTTCGCACTCTAACTTTAGTTTAAGGGAATGGATCTCTATGAAATTTTACCATAGGGTTCAATACCACAAAAGGAAGGTTGGGATTGATTTTGGGGTTTATGGTACTAACAGTTAAGGAATTAGGGGCCCAAAAGGGGCCAAAAATAAGCATTTTTGTAACTTCCAGACATAACTTGTGTGTTAGTGTATGGATCTCTCTTACATTGTACCACAAGGTTCCATATCACAAAGGGAATGCTGGAATTGATTTTGGGGGTAATTGCCTCAAAATTTTAGGAATAAGGGGCCAAAAAACAAGCATTTTTCTAGTTTCATGACAATAACTTGTGTGAAAGTGTATGGATCTTTCTGAAATTGTACTACAAGGTTCCATATCACAAAGGGAAAGCTGGAATTGAGTTAGGGGGTAATTGCCTAAAACGTTTAGGAATAAGGGGCCAAAAAGGGGCCAAAAATAAGCATTTTTCTAGTTTCCAGACCATTACTTGTGTTCAAGTGTATGGATCTCTCTGAAATTGTACTGCAAGGTACCATACCACAAAGGGAAGGCTGTGATTGATTTTGGGGGTAATTGCCTCAAAATTTAGGAATTAGGGGCAAAAAAGGGGCAAAAAACAAGCATTTTTCTAATATCAGGACAATAACTTGTGTGTAAGTGTATGGATCTTTATGAAATTGTACTACAAGGTTCCATATTACAAAGGGAAAGCTGGGTTTGAGTTTGGGGGTAATTACCCTAAACGTTTAGGAATTTGGGGCCAAAAAAGGGCCTTAAAACAAGCATTTTTCTAGTTTCCAGACAATAACTTGTGTTCAAGTGTATGGATCTCTCTGAAATTGTACTGCAAGGTACCATACCACAAAGGGAAGGCTGGGATTGAGTTTGCGGGTGATGAATCATAAGGGGGTTCAAAAAATTTGGGAGAGGGATTTTTTTTTCCTTTTTTTCCTTTTTTTTTCTTTAAAATTTTCCATTTTAAATTGGTTATTTCTGATTTATATATAAAAGCAAATAATAATGATATGGTTTGAATAGGTAAATTAAAATTTTTTAAGTTCTTAGACCACATTCATTCTGTGTCAGAAACCTATGCTGTGTCAAATATTTAATCACAATCCAAATTCAGTGCTGTATCAAGCTTGAATGTTGTGTACATACTTGCCCTAACTGTTCAGGGTTCGACCTCTGCGGTCGTATCAAGCTGCGCCTAGCGGAGCATTTTATTTAAACTAGATACCCTAATGATGATTGTGGGGGATTTTCCAGTTTTCGGACAATAACTCGCAAACTCTTTCAGCAACTTGCAAGAAACTTTGGTGAATTGTTTATAGCTATTGACATGAGCTCCCTTTTGTTTTATATTAATTTTAGATTTTACGTTTCCGAGTTATGGGGTTTTATTCATTAAAAAAAGGGGGATTTTCCAGTTTTCGGACAATAACTCAAAAATGCTTTTAGCAGTTTTCATTAAACTTTGTCGACTGATTTATATCTATTTTTCTGATTTGTCGACTGATTTATATCTATTTTTCTGATATGACATTGAGAAGTAATTGAACTTTATTCTTTGAAAACGTGATGGGTGTATCATGCGCTCATGGCGCAGCTGTTTATTAGCCATGGTGGTCATCTTGGTTGGCGGGCCTGGTCATCGGACACACTTTTTAAACTAGATACCTCAATGGTGGTTGCGGCCAAGTTTGGTTAAATTTGGTCCAGTAGTTTCAGAGGAGAAAATTTTTGTTAAAGTTAACGACGACGGACGATGGACGCCAAGTGATGAAAAAAGCTCACTTGGCCTTTTAGGCCAGGTGTGCTAAAAAGTTGCAAGGAGTTTGATCCACTTTGGAAGGCTCAAACAATATATACCTAATACTGGTAGCTTGAAATTTCTTGGAAAATTAAAACAAATTTTTTTTTCTGGCAACAGTTTTTGTCTTGCCTGCGATAAAAGTTGCAGAATGTAAGACATACCCAATCCAGCTGCAGCGACTGCATACCTCGTCTACAGCTTTGTTATGTTACAAAGTTTTATTTTGTCATGTGTCCATTGTCCTTGACTCATTTTCATGGTTCAGAAGCTGCTTTAAAAACTGTTAGTTTTCAAGTGAATTTCTCATTTTTTATGAGTGATAAGATAAATATATTTGGTATATTAGATGCTTGTAAGATCTTGTAAGGTCTACATGTTCATCAGACAAGGTTCATTTGACCTCCACATCATTGTGTGCATTTTTATTAAGGTTAAGTTCTTGTGGTCAAGTCCATATCTCAGATCCTACAAGCAGTAGGTCAACTATATTTGGTGTATAGAATGATTGTAAGGTGTACATATCTGACTGACAGTTTTCATCTGCCCTTGACCTGATTTTCATTGTTCAATGTTCTATGTTGATTTTTTGTGTTCTATTCCATCTTACAGATACTATAAGCATAGAAGTATTAACATTATTATAATACTTCCGTGCTATAAACAATAGGTTAACTATATTTGTGGTATGTTATGATTGCTAGGTGTACATGTCTGTCTGGCAGAGTGTATCTGACCATGACCTAATTTTCATGGTTCATTGGTCAATGTTAAGATTTCATGGGAAGGTCTATTTTTAGGAACAATGAGCATTAATTCAACTGTATTTGGTGTATGAAATGATTGTATGGTGTAAATGTTTGTCTGGCAGGTTTGTCTTACCTTGACCTGATTTTAAAGGTATATCTATGGGTTTAAAATTGGAGATTTTAAGATTTTAAGAAGGTTTTTCGCCATGTTTATGTGTTTTCTATACAAATAACAAATAATATACATACATGCTAAGAAATGAAGTGAAATCCGCCCTCATTTTTGCCTATTTAAAGACAAATCATAGTTGTAATGTTATTATCGAAATTTCAAATGTACGTCTTGATTAACTTTTACGAGGGCTATACTTATTTTTATGAAAATATTATCATAACTTGATTTATAGTTTATTTATTAAACACAAAAGAATTTTGTATAAATATTTCTATAAAATTTCAATTAATTGCTAACAATAAGTTTACCATATCCCTTCGTTTAAAAGTTTATAAATTGATTTAAACCAGCATATTTATTAACTTTCAAAATCGAATAAACTTAAGGTTTATTTAATTACACAAGTGACTCATGCAGTTTGATACTATTTATCAACTTGAAACTTCCTGTGAAGGTTTAATATGGCACTCATAATTTTAAATTAACAGAACGTGCTATAACTTCATTTTAAACGATATTCAAAATTTACAATGTACAGCAAACAATACTTTCTACTGGTTAAATGACATGTATAACGATCATGTTTCCGGTGTTCAATAGTTGTGATGTACCGAATATCATTTCATTGGTGTTGTTAGAAGGCCTTCTGCAATGAACTGAAGACACAGTTCTGACTTTTTTATTAGCTTTATATTTATCAGTTGATTATCTTGTTTGTTGTTGGTTTATAGGTAATTGGCTATCATTTTGTGGATTGTTTATTGTTTATCATTATGGGACTATGGTTTATTGGCTTTTATTTGTGGTTTTTAAATTGGTTATCGTTTTGTGGTTTATTTATTCGCTATGCTTTTGTGGTTTGTTTATTGGCTATCATTTTGGGTGTGTTTATTGTCTATTATTTTGGGTATGTTTATTGGTTATCATTTGCTGCTAGTTTATTGGCTGTCATTTTGTGGTTTGTTAATTGCTTATCATTTGATGGCTAGTTTATTGGCTATCATTTTGCTGTTAGTTTAATGGCTATCATTTTGTTGTTAGTTTATTGGCTATCATTTTGTTGTAAGTGTATTGGCTATCATTATTGGTGTGTTTATTGGCTTTCATTTTATGGTTCGTTTATTGGCTCTCATTTTGTCGTTTGTTTGTTGGTTATTATTTTGCATCTAGTGAAGTGGCTTTAATTTTGTGTTGTTTTTTTTTGGTTATCATTCTGCGGCTAGTTTATTTGCTCTCATTTTATGGTTAGTTTATTAGTTATCATTTTGTGGTTAGTTCGTTGGCTTTCATTTTGTGTTTGTTAATTGGATAGCATTTTGCTGCTAGTTTATTAAGTATGAATAAAGGGATATTTTGGTTATACACCAATTATAGCAACTTTACGACACAAAGATGACCGTCTCGAGTGCATTCTACATACCGAATTCTTAACAGTTACATGCATATAATATTATAGTGGTTTTTACCAATAAATTCAAAATAATTAGGGCCCCGCCTAGTGGCGGGTCACCCTATAGTGACCAGTCTGTCCGTCCGTCCGTCCGTAACAAACTGTGTTCGCTCTACATCTAGAGAACCGTTATAATTTCATACTTTATACTTGAATTATATATTAACCAACACCAGAGGGTGTGTCATAATGTTTGTACAACTTCCTATGTCAAAGTTCAAGGTCAAAAACTTTGGTTTCAGTTGACAACCCAATGTCCTATGGTAAAGATCGTGTCCGCTCTATATCTTGAGAACCGTTATGATTTTAAATTTTATACTTGACATGTATATTAACCAACACTAGATGGTGTGTCATAATGTATGTACAACTTCCTAGGCCAAATATAACACTTCAACTAAAAAACATAGAATAAAATCACTCTCAGCACATAACGAGACTATGTAATAACTTAAAAAAGTGCTTCATATCAGTTTATCCATACAAATTTTTTACCACACGAAAACTGATGCTGATCATTGTCATTGTAGTTATTAACATTTGCTGAAGAACTCATCTTTATGTCTTTTTCTATCAATCCATACAACTGGCTTAGTTCTGTTCTCTTATGAGTAATTATATGTGGAGATATTACTCCACCAGGACATGTTGTGTTATCACTCTGAAAGATAAAATAAACCAAGATAGGGAGATTGACAACACAACAAATCTAAACCAATCAAATAATTCAATCTGATGTATTTTTGTCGAGCCTAGGACTACTGACGTATAGATTTCCACATGATAAAAATATTTACTTTACTTTAAAATGGACTGTTCTATAGGTAAACACAAGAAAAAATGGACTGTTTTATAGGTAAACACAAGAACAATTTAATCTAGTGAATACAGATACAGTTTTTATGGGGAGGGGGGTAGGATGAAAAATTTTGTCCTTCATTTTTTTAAAGTTGTAATCTCTGTCCTGCCTTTTTATTTTTCACTCTATTCGGTCCTGCCTTTTTTTTATTAGTTTATCCTGAATTTTTTTACATAAATTGTCATCCTGCCTTTTGTTTTTGCAAAGTTGCTCATCCTGCCTTTTTTTTTACTCAAAACTCCTGTCCTGCCTTTTTTTTAAATTTCATCCCTATGTTGGAGTATTGTAACAACAACGTCTTTTGAACGCCACTTCTCTGAGACCCATACAGCTATATTATTTAAGAAAAAACAGTCGAAATGGTTGGCAAAATAGAGAATTGTTCACAAACATAATTTTGAAAAAGGGAAGAGGGATAAGTGCTCAAAGAACTAATTTATTTTTCGCCACATGTTCATATTGAGTCATATCATACAGAAACCTCCACAGTTGTAGTCTCTAGTAATATCTTATTACTTTTTTGTCCTTCTGTGAAATAAAAACAGTTCCATCCAATAACAAATACTATAATTTATGTTGTAAGATAAATGATATGTACTATCAATTCAAATACACATAAAGAAACATGTTTTACCAGGAACATATATATTAGATATACTGTTCCCAAGTTTTACGTAAGTCCAAAAGAACAAATTATAAAAAAGAAGATAAAAAGACTAAGATAAAAGATATAGGGACGTTTTTTTACACTTGTCTGTTGTCGGGTTCATTTGGGTATTAGAATTTATATATCACGTACATATGGTAATAAGAGTACTGAAAACAAAATCTGTTCAAAAGTTTAAAGGCATAAGTATATAATCATAGTTTAATGAAATTAATGTTTTGACAGTTTAAAGTATGTGTTCTTTGAAGTACAAATTATAACTACTTTTACAAAATAGTAAACTACTTTAGTATACAGAAAGCAAAGTACTTGAACATTTTCCATTTAAAATATTTATATTAATCTAAGTTAAGTCCAGGACATTAAATTATTAAACTAAATATAATACACAACAAACATTTATAACTTTGTAGAAACTTTGAATAAAGCCATTTACTTATATTTGAAGATTATGAACGAGACAGCACAATATTACCTCACACAGTTAACCATCCAAACATGTTATCTATAATA